TTTTTTCCCAGTCTCACTGAGAATATTTGATTTTCTCCTGTGAATGACCTAGAAATGCCAGGAGGTGACACCTGTAGCAGCTGCTGTAGGTGATGCTGTGCTGATTTTATGCCTTTTTCTTTTATATACCTTCTATATATTCTCTGTATTCTTATCACACATATATGTAGCTTTTGTAGCCTATTACTGTAACTTAGTTCCAGTACTTTTCTAGGCAGAAAGACTAAACATTCTAAAAGCCTCCCAGCTGAGGGCCCGAAACCCCTCATTTCTCCATAGAAACCAAGGTTGAAACTAGCTCTTCGAGATATATTTTTGTAAAAAGGGTTCAAACCTCATCCAAGGGGGAAGACTCTGGAAGCTGGCAGAATTGGAGGGACATTATTTCTTCTATGAAGTTTCTTGTTGGGGAATCTTTGTCAGATATGCTGATTTGCAAAGTCTATGGGAATTGTGTACACGTCATGGGCATCTTTGGCGTTTTCCACCTAAAGGATCCTTCCGTATTAAAAGAGGTCACCCCTTTTAATTCCCTTAACTGTGTCTGGCTCATACCTCTAGGAGCAGAGAGAAAGCATCATAGATACTTCCATTTCCACGAGCAGCTGCAGCTAAGGAGAGCCAGTGGATTTCCAGGTGCTGGGCAGAATGTGGTGGAAGGGGATCTGCCCTTTGATTTCTTCTAGGYCCTTCTCAGTAGTGATACAGATGCTCATGAAAGACAGGGAAAATATGTTTTCCCTTTGCCTAACTCRTAGATCTATGTAAGCTGAAAGCAGCCCTTGGCTTCAGGGCTTTGCAAGTTGACTTCAACCATGATCTTCCAGAATGATTTCATATTTGCATCTCCTTTWCTTCCTCCTGTTCCTCTTCCTCTCTGCTCATTGCAGCTCTGGTCGCTGACCCAATGTGTGAATTCCTTTGCTAGGTATGCAGAAGAACTGGCTACCACGAGGGTCCTCAAGCACAGCTCCGAGTCTGCTAATGGAAAATGTGGAGAAAACCTAGCATGGGCATCCTATGACCAATCAGGTGAGCTTTCTTCTCTTTTTGTCTCACAGACACCTCACAAATGTCTTGTCTCGAGTACTTTGGGCTCAGAGCATCTGATTACAGGAGCACTGGAGTTTCCTGTACTTCAAAAATGTGTTGATAGCACAGCCCAGGCTCCCTGGGGACAGGATGGTGGCTTGTAGTCACCTTTGTGTCCTGAGAGCAAAAGCATTTGTAGGTACAGAGGGAGTAAGGGATTGTGGTTGTGTATTATGTYCCTTTGGAGGAAGGACTTGGCAGCTCAATATGTCCCTGCTGTGGAGCTGTCTTTGGTGTCACTTGTATGTCCCTGGCAGGAGGGAAGGAAGCTGTCAATGCCCTGTACTTCACCTTTACCTAGTGGGAAAATGTCCCTTGCACACTGTGCAGCAGCTCCTGTTTGTGGGGGCAAAAGTAGGGGACCAAACACCAAAGTGACAGTGGCTGATGTCCTTCCATTAATATCTTCCATTCTGTCAGCAAACAGGCTTCAAGCCCTTTTCCATGCTTTCGTTTTTGAAGRCAAATTTATTCCATGAGTTTTCTGACTGTAAATGTAACATGTAAMTAGGAGTTTGGTTTGGGTGGCCCAGGAGCTGAATTTTGGTCAGGCTGTAGTAAGCCCTGAGCTAGAGAGGGTCAGCAGGTTCTTCCCTCCTGCTTCCTCCAGCGAGCAGGGCTCATGCCTCAGCCTGCTGGGAGAGCAGCTGGGATGTATTAAAAGTGWCCATTTGCTTTCTTTATTCCAATCYAMCCCTGGAATTTCCAGCACRGCCRYAAGGAAACAGAAGCTCATTTCTGCAGGCTGGAGGCTCTGTTTGAAGCACCTGGAAATTTTAGTGAGTTTTAGTCCCAGGGATGCTGTTTGGTTCCTCTTTAAGTTGCCAACTCTAGTCCCAAGTGGGTACATTTTCACGTTGAAAAAAAAAAAAACCATGATGGGAAAAATACGATTTGATCTGCTCATATTTGGCAGTCCTTTGCAAGGGTGTGAGGAGAGGATTTGGAGCAGCATGGGAAAACACAGATGTACGGCAGAGTTTGCAGAGTGGCTGTGACTCACTGACTGAGCTTAGTTATTTCTTCTTTTTTGGGTTAATGGCCTGTGCTGCTTCCCCTGAGGTTAAAGTCACAGAATTCCCATTTAGAGAGCTGGAAACATAACACAAAAATCCATCTACATAATGTCTGTCTTTTCTCTGGGTCCAGTTYTTCTTCAATGCACTGTTTCCACATATAACTTTTGAGCAGTTTTGCTTTTTTTTTTTATCCACAAGATTAAATGCCTTGTTGAGAAAATTAAGTTACATCCTCTTTTGTTCTGTGAAACATTTCTACATTTCCAATGCAGGAGGATCACTCCAARTCCCAGAATGAGAAAGCTAGTTCTTCAAAGGAAGTTATTTTCTCATCTAGGCTTAGTCTTCATCTCTATGGAGTTGGTTCATTCTTCCTCTTTTTCTCATATAGYTCCCTCTGGATAGTTAATTTGTACCCTGCTCAATGAGGCTGAAATTTAGATTAAGACATCCATTCAGGGGCTTAACAAAGGCAGGCAGTGTCCTCTGGTTTCTTTCCCAGATAAAGCAAAACTCAATAAACCTTCAGTATGCTCTGTACTTGCTCTCAAAAAGTGATGCTGTTGTTTATTTTGGCTCTTACTGAGTTCTGTAATAATGCCAGAAGATGCATTTCTTGTTTCAGAGAAGATTTAAGCTTTTAGCTATAAAGCCTTCTAATATGACTCCTCTCCTGGTACAAGAATACCTTGAATTCTATTCAGGATTTTAGAGTTACATAGCCTAAAGCTGTTGCTAGAAATATGTTCATCCCTGTAATCCAAGAAACAGTTGACAGCTGTTTCCTCCCTCCAGTCCTGCAGGAACTGCTCCATGGCAGACTTGTCTTTGTCTGTGTTCAAATAAGTGAGCTGTCATCTGCCACTAATGCGAGAGACTGCAGCCTGCCTTGGCAGCTGTGCTTGTCAGGCTGCTCAGGATGCCTCCTCTCGTTTCTCATGGGTTGGGAGGCTGAARGGAGCACTGGGTGTCTGAATTCTGYTTGGGATGGYTGCTGTGGCTGTGAAGAACTCAGTGGAAACGCTGCAGCTTATGAACTCTCTAGAACTTGTAAGAGAAATCCACGGTGTGCTGTCACCCAGATCTGGTACGGGAGGAATCTGGGTCTCCTGAGGTTGGGACCAGTGGGCAGAGCAGCGCAGGCACTGGAGGAGTGTGCTCGAAGGACATGCCTTGATGGATCTMTTGCTSTTWAACACCAGGTTTACACAATATTGTYAAATAAAGTAAAATAAAATAAGGACCTGCATGAGGACTGCTGAAAGAAGAGAATTGCTTCCAAAACCCATTAGTATGACTTTAGTTTAGGCAGATATTTTATTTATGAGGCAATGTTAAATCTACTTCTGCCTTCTTTCCCCTCAGACTGGCGGAAGGAGCGTTGTGGTAACCCAATTTTTAAGTAGATCACCAAGGTGCTGCCCATTTGCAGAGAAATATCTCCTATGTGATTCTGTTAGAATGTTTTTAGCAACTTACTCAGTGCAATTACTTGAAGATTTAAACATTCTTTGGCWTGAGGAGAAACAGTAAGGCTGGGCCTAGAGAAATTTAATTTTAGGGGAGCTGAATAGAGGAATACCACTGCCAAAGTGCTGTGTTCCCAGTGGTGAGGCTGGGAATGTGTTTCCAGTCTTGCACACACAAACACACACACACAGCATGGACTTGAGTGTGTGTGCAGAGCAGCACAAAGAGATGCAGTCAGTATTAAAATGAACWGCACCAGTGGCCTCCTCCTCTTGCCTTTCTCAGCTGATTGCAATGACAAACATTACTGGGGTATCTATAAGTAGATTAGTGTAGTATATAAATAATGCAAATATCTATTTCTTAGTAAGTTATTTAAAAGTAGATACAGTGTATATTTTATAGWGTTAATTTATAGATATAATTATGAAAATATATGTATGATAGAAAAAGAATTTCAGAGTGGATCCCTGCAGTGACTTAGCTCAAACACTGAGTCTTCCCAGTAGCTGTCCTAGATCCCAGTCTCCCCAGCAGCCTGCACCTGGACAGTCTCTGAGGCTGCAGTTCCATTGCAGCTGCCAGTACAGGGCATCTCGCACACACAGGAGCACTGGTGCTGAAATGGTGTGCCAAGGTGATTGCAGCAGGGCCCCAGCATTGCTGCTGCTGCATCTTTGTGATCTGGATCACCCATGGCCTTGGGTTTGGCTGCTGGCCAGAACTCACCCTGCGGTGGCCATACTCTTCTGTAGCATCTGCTCCCATGGCATTTCATCTGCTTTCCAGCAAGTCCCTCTCGTGCTTTRCTGGTGGTCYAGCTGCTGGCACCAGAGACACAAARGAACCCTTTTTTGGGTACCAGTTGTTGGCACTCACACCCCCACACATCCACACTGAATGGAGCTCCACACCCAGGAGAACAGCTAGAAATGACATTTGGTGAGACAACAGCMCAACTGGTGAGATGCTGAGCATGGCCAGGTTAGAGCAGTGGCACCTGTTTACATGCAGGGGGTCCTTGATAATAAAGGAGACATAATTTACACTGTTAGTTCTGCATATGGACTGACCCTGCATGGTCACTCCTCTGAYCCAGTGAGGAAGATTGAGGCACAGTCAGTGTGGCCACATTGCAAGCTTTTGTCTTAGGTAAATGAAATAAAATCACTGTGCTGGTTGTAGTCCTAGCCTTGGGCAAACCTATTTTTGAACACTAGTTCAAGGACTGTTGCACTAAGTTTTCATGTGAGGARGATGGTTCATCATGATTGTAACTCATTAGTGTGAGATTCAGCCCGTTCTGAAATGAATATCTAGTTAGCCCAGCTGATCAGRCCATCAGTGAACTGTGTCTGGGAACAGGGTGGGGTCAAACTGTGTTTCCATGGAGAAAGTGTTGAAACTCTGAGTGTGGTTTACAGCAGTGCAAACAGGAAGAGTGTTAAAAAGCCTCACAGTGTATTTATTAATCAGTTCTGCAAGCAGAACAACAGAAGAGAAGCTGCAGCTCTGACTGAGAGGAGTAAATTTTATAATTTCTGCTACAATCASAAATGAGGGATGTGAGCTATTTCTTCTCTGTGTTTTTTCCTTCTGACTGAAAAACATTTTGATCAGCAACCCAACTTCCCTTGTTTAGGGGAACTGTGGGAGTAGTGGAACTGTTTCTAATGAAATATTGAAAACAAATTGAAACATACCCTCAAATATGACTGCATAATTTATGCCACAATACATTTAATTGTAAATACTGTGGACAATTTTCTGAACCAGTAAGTCTGAGGATGGAAATTGCTGCTAAAGCAGGTAGGCTCAGTGCACTCCTAGCCCTTGTGTTGTTTTCTCTCTGGAAGCCTGGGGGTCACTGGGCTCAAAACAGGGGTTTTCCTTAGTCCCCAGCTGTGTGCCAGCTGTTGCTTTCAGCACTGGTTTGGCTTGTGTCCTACCAGGGCATTGTTTACCGCTCCACAAAGAGCAAAGAATCAGAAGACAATTATTTCAGGGAAAAGAGAAACTGTTTAATCACTASGTCAGGTACCTACCTGTCTTCTCACATGGTAACAACTTCCACACTGGACACCTCCTCACCTCCTGTGCCATGTGACAGATAAAAGTCTTTCCCTTCACTTACCGGACACTTCTTTAACATGATTTCAAGACAGAGTTTTGTCAAAAGTTGCCTACTCCTTYGATCACCTTCTCCTTTGCTGGAAAAAAAAAGTAATTCTTTATATTCTCACAGCTTATGAGGCCACGACTCTTTTAATTCAAGGATGATGACAGCAATGCCATATTAATGAAAACTTGGTCCTGCATGTGAAAAATGGAGAAGAGTGATCATCTTCTGGGCTTTCACTGCCTGGCCTCAGCCAGTTGAAAGCTTTAATCTTTGAAATCTGGGAATTAGCACATCATAGACTGTGCTGCCCAACTATGCTCTTTGTCTTTCAGGTACAGGATTGAGGCAGTCTTACCTGATGCCATTTCTACCTCCCYTGGATTAAAAAGTAAACAATTTTTGACATGACAGTATTGTTTAAATTAAAAGCAAATTAATTACGAAGAGATAGTGTGCTTGCCAAAACTTCCAGGTGCCCTGCAATAGTTCCATTATGGAGGTTTCAAGTTCTGTCACATGCAGCCTAGGTGCACTTCTTAGAGTTACAGTAAGCAGAACGGGGGTGGCTTTCTCCTTAAATACTCTTTATAGTGTATCACACTGATACATTAACAGAGGSAATAATGTGCTGGCAGCAGTGGGAATGCAGTCCTACATCTGCAAAAATCCTACTTATGTAGCACAGTCACTTCACCACTTGTACCCATAAAATACATGGACGTCATAAGGCYTGATATCTCAGCAGTCACACTCTGTACTTCTACACCCAGCTTACCACAATCACATCTAAGTTCTTCATAGCTATTAAGTCCAGAGGACAGGATGATCTGCTTGGTTAGTTTTGTGCTTTTTTCTTTTCATCTTGTATTGCATWAAGATCACTATTTGCATTTTCTTTCAATCTTCATTTTAGCTTTAGCATAAGAACTGAACAAATAAATATGTGTTAGATACTTCAACCGTAAAACAGATCTACAGGGTTTGTTTTTTGGTGCAAGGAGAGCAGGAAAAGAAGAAACCAGTTGTTATTCTTGAAATTTGGGAAGCAAGAGAGAGTTTGCTACCTTTTTGTGTAAAAAATGTTTGACTCTACTGCACACTGTTCCTGACAAACAGTGTAGCATATAAGATCATAGTACTTTCAGTTCACCAGCCTCTCTAGAGATGGCATTTCATTCAATATTTTCTTTTCAATTATGGCTCTGACAACCAGCTTGCCAGGCTGACAGCATCATCCTTTTAGCCAACTCCAGTCATGAGAAACTCAAGTTTAAGAAGTTAATGCAGCGTCTGACTTCTAGAAGTGTGCAAGTTTAGGGCTTTTTTTTCTGCAAAATAGCAAAGTGTGAGTCATTCCTCTTCTGCAGCCAACAGTCCACCAGGGACCAGCATTCTTCATGATGGCAGGCTTAACATCTTTGGCAGCTTGCTTTTAAATCTCCTGGCCTTGATACATCCCAGAATGCTAAGCAGAAAGTTCATTATCAATGTTGCTCAGGGAAAAACCTGACCCCTCTCATCCCCCTGGTGTTTGACACAAGAATTTCCTAACAACCAGTAATGGAAAAGAAGTAATGTTTGACATTTGTCTGCACAGCATCTGCAGATCCTGGGCTGAGCTACATCCCTGGCCACAGTCATCGTCCTKGTTCAGCTGCTGTCAGTGAAAGCCTTGGCTGGGTTGAGACAGTGCTGGACACACAGACTTCCACATGGAAGCAGCTCCTAATTATGAATATTTGAGGTTTCTGTAGTGCCCTGGGTTACAGTGCCTGGAGGAGAAAGACCTATGGGGTGCTGGTCAACAGCTACTAAGCAYGAATAAGAGTGTGCCCAGGTGGCCAAAGAGTCCAATGACATYCTGRCCTGTAGCAGCAATAGTGTGGCCAGCAGGAGCAGGGCAGGGACCATCYTCTGTACTCACAGCTGCTGAATCCTGACCTTGAATCCTGTGTCCAGTTTTGGACATCTCACATCAGGAAGGACATTGAGGTGCTRGAGYRTGYCCAGAGYTGGTGAAGGGTCTGRAGCACAACTCCTATGAGGAGCAGCTGAGGGAGCTGGGGGAGTTTAGCCTGGAGAAAAGGAAACTCAGGGGAGACCGTATTGCTCTCTACAACTGCCTGAAAGAAGGATGTGGCAAAATGAAGGTTGGTCTCTCTGCCCCAATAACAAGTGATAGGATGTGGGAAAAGGCCTCAGGTTGTGCCAGGGAAAGTTTAGATCACATATGGGGAAAAATTGGCACGTCAGGATGTAGTTTAGTGGTGGGCTTGAAAGTGCTGAGATAATGGTTGGACTCGATGATCTTAATGGTTTTTTTTCAATCCTAAACCATCCCATGATTCTATGACAAAAGTAGCAAAAGCTTTTGTAAAACAGWAAAGACTTGATAACTTGTAACTTGGTACTACCATGTTACCTACGTTTCAAAACCACTTTTCAGTAAAAGGACTCTTTCTCTGTGTTTCTAGAAGTTCTTGACAGCTTTTAACAGAAGATCTTGCTGGGCATGCTGTAAGKGAGCTACACTTTTGTCTTTATATCATGATTCTGCAGCACATTTCTTTTGTCTTTCAGGAAAAGATGTGGCTGACAGATGGTACAGTGAAATAAAAAATTACAGCTTTCAAAATCCAGGGTTTTCTTCTATGACAGGTAAGCTCAGACTCAGCGCTGTCTCTTCAAAAATACAAYCTCTGTTTTAAGAAATTGCCTAGCCAATTTGTTTGATATATTTCAAACATCTACCTATTTTTCTTAGAAAAAAATATTGAGGGGAGAAGGGGAATTGGAATTTTCCAGAARTTTTATGCTAAAAACTGAAAAAAGTGAAAAAAAAACCCTGAGAAATGAGAAATTATGCAAAATTTATAGGGGTTTTTTAGTACTGCATTTTTCCTCCAACTCCAAAGTTTTGAACAGGCAACTTAATTTTAAGGCAAATTAATTAGTAAGAAATGCTAAATTGGAATCATATAAGAGTCTTACTAAATGTACTGTGTTGTTGTTTATATTGACACCTGACTTCTACTGAGTTACATCACTCCACTCACAGAGATCACTTCAGCTAAAATTTGGAGATTGGGAGCAGCTGCATATTGACAATCCAGTGCAGAATGAACTCAAGAACATTATTCCTCAAATAAGGATCRGGCAAGAGAGATATCTGACCTTGTTTCTATTTAAGAAAATCATGTTTTTCTCCCTGATTTTGGGATTTGTCTATGCATAGAGGGAACAACTGATGGAGCAGCACAATGCAGGGGTGGCTATTAAACTAGGCAGAAGAAGCCACAAAAACAGTGGGTTTTTGAACAGTTGCACATGCAAACAAATGGGGGAGTATGAGATGGTTAAAGCAAATGAGTAACAGTCACTCTCAGAACTGCTGTTCACACTGCAGGGAGTGAAGACCATGATGTCTGTGTCAAATTTTTTGTCAGATGCCTATCAATCTACTTCTTYCATGATTATCCTGCTACATACTCTTATTTCGATACAGGACATGGAAATGGGAATCATAGTGTGAAAACAGATCAGATTAGGGGTTTTCAAGACAAAATGCTAGACATAGGGTTCTTTTTCATGTCCTTAGCTTGTTCTCATGTTAGACGAAGAAGCAGTGTTGTTTTATTCTCTTCTTTCCCAGCACCTCCTGTGTCAAAGGGAATGTTACAGGTTTAGTACCTGAAGTGAAYGTGTATTTTTCTCCCTCTTTCTTCAGGTCACTTCACAGCAATGGTTTGGAAGAGCACAAAAAAGATGGGAGTTGGAAAAGCATCTGCTAGTGATGGCTCAACGTTTGTGGTAGCTAGATATGATCCAGCTGGAAATGTAGTAAATCCAGGCTATTATCAAGAAAATGTTCTTCCTCCAAGAAAATAACTTTTTTTTTAAGGTAGTCTTAATTCTTAATGACAAGTGAACCTGGATTTGGACCTACCAGTGTCTGAAATGAAGCACGATTCAGTGAAATTTCCCATTTGATGCTGCTGTTCACTTCTCATTGTGGAGGAAGCAATTAAAMCTTGTTTGAGTCAATCTGCACAGTAGGTCCCTGTTGTTATCTGACCTCAGATAATTGGAGGATGAACTATATGCAGCATTTCTGAAGGGTGAAATTTGTAAGTTTTTTATAGTATTTTGCATGAACTCTGTGTCAGCATGTGACTAAGCACATGTTGGATGTCTATTTTTTCTTAAAACCAACAAATTTATAGCTTTCTGTAAACTGAAGATACCAGCTTGTAATTATATTATGTACTCCCAGCTGTCCAGTACTTTTTAATAACTGTATCTTCTTTGCTCTGTCTTTACTTCTTGCTACTGTGGGACCTACTCTCTGCAAATGGAACATATGCAAAACTTCCTGTGTGAAAGGCACACGTGTAAAATGTAGTGGCGTTCAGACCTGTGTCTGTTTTATTAAGAGAATCTCACAGAACACTAAAGGCTGCTGGCAAAACTGTATCCATCAGGCAAGACATAACTAATGCATGATCTGAAAAAATTGTTTAAAAATTCCTATTTAAACAATTCTAAAATTGTTTAAATCCCAGTTTAGGTGCTAATATATAAAATACATTTGAGATGAGTGTATTTCAAGTTCAAAGTGCATCTTACAGTTTACAGTTTGTACCTTGTRTCATACTCAAATTGTTTACTTCTGYTACAGAAAAATAAGRTTCTACTTTTTGRTATTTATGCACAGAAGAGTTTMTTTGGTGGCATACTTTGGATTTTACTTCTTAGTAAATTATTTTTATTTCCTAAGGAATATCTTTTTCAGGTGTCATGCTGTACAGCCAATAACATTCCCAAATCATCTAATCTCCTTTAGTAATGTAACAGTAGGGGTGTTCACAATGTCATAATTAAGAGATGTTTACTCTTTATTGATATTATTCAATAATAGTAATATTTCATATGTTGGATTAATGCCTTGAAAACAATGAAGACTTAAATTCCTTAAGAACAAGCCAAGCAAAAATTCTTAGGAAAGATATTTTCTCTGATAAATTGTGGATGGGCCATTTTGGACAGGTTCACATACTGTGCTTAAATCTGGGGTTTTATTTTCTATGTAAATGTTTCTTTTGACTTTTGATGAGATTCTATATGCCATAATTTGGTTCATAAACAGTGCCATTACAGAAATACTTCTTTTTGTTTACACAGTTGTAATAAACTGCATTCCTATGGCTTGATTATATGTCACTGTGATGCTGTTTGTTAAGATTTTTTGCTGTAACCAAGAATTTGACACATATCATGAACAACTGAAAAGTAAATATTTTTGAATATGAACTACTCAAGCTTTTGTTGTTACCTGATTCTGATTCTTTGTTGTATAATCCTCAAGTTTTATTTCCAGCACATTAACACATGATGTTCTTGCTTTTGTAACACGGGGGGGATAAAAGCAGCAAGAATTCTAGTCCGGGAAAGAGAGAAGAGACCTTCTAAGAGAGGATAAATCATACAGCAGATCATCAGCCCTCATTTCATACGCAGACTGAGCTCAGAGTTGAAGCTGAAAAGGCATCCCTCTTTCTCTCTCGRGCTCTGGCTTTGTATCTCCTTTCGTTCTGCTGCTCCCTCTCTCGGCTGAYGTGTTGTCAGTAAAGAAAACCCACTTGACTCCCACTCAGGTGTGTGTGTTTCATGTACTGCAGCCTTGGGGCCTTCCTCCCCTCAGCCCTCAGCTGACAAGCTTTTTCTGAAAAAAAAAAAAAAAAAAACAGCCAGGCTTGCTGCAACTGACGTAAAGTTAAAAGCTGATGTTAAATAAATTGACAATATTAAAACACAGTTTTTTCCCTAATGACTTTATGCTATGGACCCTATAATTCCTTGAATRATTGATGCCAAACTGTATATATCGTAGTTGAGTGAGTCAAGTCAGAATCTTTCTCTGCTGCCACCTAGGTTTTATTTGAAGAGAGAAGTGGGGAGGTAGSTAAAGGACAAAACAAAGCTTGTGGTTCTCTGTATTAAAAATGATAATGGCAAGTGAACTTCAGAGGTTTTGAGAGCATTTTGAGGGGGCAGTGGAGGTAGCTGGACATGGAAGAAGCACAAAGCCACTCAAATGCTACGTGCACTCCACAAAGAGTCCAGGTAAGTATGATTGTAACAATTAAAAAAGCCCAAAGTGTTAATTTAATTCTTCATGACYCAAGATTATGATGCTGATGCCTTCTGCACATGAATTCTGGCTGTGCAGCAAACCGTGGTGGATGTAGGAGCCCAAATGCAAAGGGAAGGGAAACGTTGCTGATGTGACTCACTCTAAAACCACATGATTTTTGGGAATTGTACACTGAAACTTGACTTACCAGCCATCTGTATTTAAAAACTGTGTTGGTGTACTGCCCCACTCTCTACCACAYCTTGGAGAGTTGTGGAGATTGGGAGATGGCAAAGAAAAGTTATCTCCTGCCATGTTARAGCAAAACAAGATGTTTAAGAGCTTCCTCAGTTTCAGAGGTAGAAGTGACTGCTCTGGGAACATAGAATAGGCTAAACTGAGAAAATTACCTATTTTTAGAGGCCTGCAGATGATTTCCAATGTCTTTTTGCAGCACAGGGAGGAGAAAGAGGAGAGGAGGAGGAGGAAGAGGAGGAACTCTTGCTGGTGTGAGGCGTCATTTCTAGTCTTCTGGGCTAAATAATAACAGGGAATTTGGGGAAGAACTGGGACTGCTCATTAAAAGGTGCTGAAAAAGGAAGCCTGCRTTAGGCATTTTCATTTGCCAGCTTCCCTCCTTTTTCTTTCCAATAGGACAAAACCTCTCCCTGAGGAGACTTGAAGGGTTTT